TTCGTGTTAATTGCTTGTCACAAACATATAAAGGTGACGACACACTACATGATGGCACAAATCAAGATTCATATTATAAAACTCCTCAAGAAAGTATCAAATTAATAATAATAATATTTATTGCAATATCAAATTATCAAAATATAAACTCAATACTATAATATAATAAAATTGCACTAAAGGCATATAATTTTTATTAATTATCTAATGAATACAATAAGAATTATAAAATATGAAACACCAACTAAATGTGTCTGTGCACAACATGATACTTTTCAAGTAAATTGTTAAGTATAGATAATACATTATGAATTTAATAATTACAAATCTACATTCATTATATAAACATTTCATATTATGTTCAAGAAACTATCAGTCAATAAAAAATTATAAAATATGAAATACAAGTACTATATAAAAGTGTCTTCTCCTTATATGATACCTGTCAACTTGTTACTTTTATAAATATTCTACTAGTTTGATCTTTTATATAAGTTCATAAAATAATCTAAATAAGATCATTAAATTATAATCTTTCAATATTTTCAATACAAATAAAAGGTAATGAAAACAGTATTTTTGTCTTTTTCATAAAGTTGCCTCGATACTATACGAAATATATCAAGTATATTTATCTCAATATCTCAAATATCATGCATGAATGTAGTAATCATGTTTTTGAACACATCGTGGAAACTGTCAAAATTGAACCATGCACAGGTGAGGAAAGTGATGGTTAATAAAGAAGGAGAAGTATTAATATTGACAAAAGTTTATTTTGGTTTCATCTTTTAAATTTGAAATTAACTTCAAGAAGCTATTGAAATCTAATTGAAACAAACAAATTAAAGTTGCACAATTATGAAGACTACAAACTTAGAATATATCAAAATTGCACTGAAAAAAAAATGTCCTAGTGAAATAATTATTTATATTAGAAATCAAGATATAAAATATTAGAAATTATTACTTTTGTTAAAGATTTATACCTTAAATTAACTGCAAAAAATTGTATTTTTATTACTTTCTACTTATTTTGAAGCTCGATTAAATATATAATTGTTGTTAATCACTAATAAATAAACGTGTGTTTACACTATAATATCTATAATGTATGCAACTTGTACAATATTCTTGTAAAAATTGAAACGTAATTTATGTAATAACAAAAAAATACAGGTTAGTTGGTTATTTAATTAATAATTAGTATTAGTAATATTATTTTGAAATTTTGATTATTTAATTGTGTAATCATACTCATATTAAATAAGTGACAGTTAAATTATTTAAAAATGTATGATTAATTTACATGTCATAATTTATAATAAATCTTTGGACGAAGCGTTTCCTTCTTTTGATACTTATCTTTCCAAGGCGGAAGATATTATCTTGGTCTTTTATATCCAAGCAGTCGATATCCCGTTTCCGTTTATAAAATAATTCGATTTCCCGTTAAGATACTTCGCTCGTGTTGTTGCTTTACATTATATATATATTTTTCTACATTGTTTTCGTATTTTCGTTACAGTGAATATTCAGTCAAGTCTCTCATGTGAATGGAAGATAGCGATCGAATTCAACCCAAATAAGGACATTGATTCGGAAAGCGGAATGCGAGATAATTTCTGTAAGGGTTGGTAAATGCATTTATAATTATTCGAAGTCTGTTACGGCAACGTGAATGGGTGTGTGTGTGCAGAAAATGGTAATTAAAATTGGGGTTCTCCCCGGAAGGTATTGTATCACATGGTCCGCATTGTTTCGGCTCGTTGATTTCATTTTCACCTGGATTAGGTCTCTCTCTCTTTCTCTCTCCATCCATCCGTCTCTATCTAACTCTCTTTTTTTTGTTCGTCCTATCTCTTTCACTCTTCATCCTTGCGTCAGGACAGGCCGTGTGTCCAGCTGTTGCAATCCCATCGTGCCCACCCCCGCATCTCCATTTCATAGGCCGTATATCTTCTATTCCCGACTGCTGACACTGGCCCAACGATCTCCATTAATCTTATACACAAACAACCCGAAACTGCTTTTTCGCTTCAATTCAATTCACTTATGTGTTTCACTTGTAATAGTAATATTTCATGTAACAACCACAACAAATACAAAAAGGTAAAGTTAAAATACAGTAAAACACATAAATCATTGAGTTCATATCTTCATCACAAAAATTCAATTGTATTTTCATCATAGCAATTTGAATTGACTTTTTTTTTTTTAAAGAAATTAGATTTACATCTTCTTCAACACAATTCGATTAGATAATGTAAGATAAATAAAAATACAAGAATTCTTGAGTTCATATTAGGGTTTGTACAAAAAGGGTTTTTGAATCTCAACTTTTCTACAAAACCGGTTTTAGAATTTTCGCTTAAAAAATTCTTGAATTTTATTAAATAATAAATAAAATTATAAACTATAAAGTTTTTCTGAAAAAATGTGATTTTAAACAGGAAAGAATATGGCTTGAGTTTCATCTTTTCTCCGATTTTTTCATCCTCGTTTTCATCTTCTATTTAATAATGTGGATACAACTATTGATAATATTTATCCAAACAACTTAATGATCATGACAAATCTTAGTTCTATTTTCATTACAGGAATGCTAATTGTATTTTCATCATAGCAATTTGAATTGTACTTTTATATAATAATAATTAGTTTTGTAACTTCATCAAAGCAATTTGAATATATTTTTTTCAGTTAACTACAAATTGATTGGGAATACTGAAAAGTGTGTATGTAATTTGCTAAATATTATATTTAACGTAAAGGCATTGAAAACTTTCTTACTTCCAGGAAAAATAAATAACAGTTGCATACAAAAACACCAAATATTCAAAATTACATATTTTTTCTTCATTCCCTGAAGATACCTTTCAATTTTGTTACGTTTCAAGATGAACACCAAACAATTGTATTTTAACTTTTGATTACAGTCATAACGTGTTTATGATTATGCAGATTAGTTAGTATTTACATAAATGTACAGTTATTGAACAATAATCGTAATGAAATGATACTGAGTTTGCTATAGTTAAAATGATTGTATATACCTTTAATTAATTATGAGTAATATTAAGTTCACGAAAAAAAACTTTATTTCATCAACTCATATTTCAACCAAACTCTCATATGAAGACCAATTTTTATCATTTATTGCAAGAATTTTCATAATACAATTAATTTTTCAAATGTTAAAGAAATAAAATGGATAAGAAATGTTGGAGCAAACTATAGAAATATATTTTTTATATACTAATTTTATTATTGTTTCCTTAGGTTTACATAATAATAAAACTTGTTTATAATGAGGATTCTGAATTATATAACAAATTTGTAAATATAGTAGTTTTATAGTTATAGTAATGACAGACAATTTCAATAATTATTTATAATGTTTCTTTAAAGTATATAATAATCATCATCAATTCATTTGCTATGAGTTCGTTTCAGCAATTTCCTACAAATTTCTTTAAAATAAATAATAAGTTTGAGATATAAAATGTTAAATTGTTATTTTAATGTTTCTATACAAATTGTTAGTTTCTTACAAATGTTATGTGCGTCATGAAAAACACTGTAAATAAAATTTATGAAAAAAATAAAATAAAACAAAATGTTCATTTGTAAAATTCATATCGTTTCTTTAGAATCTCAAAGTTGTCTTTATGGATGTAACGATATGATAGGCACGATGAACGTAATCATAAGATTATGTAAATGCTTATCGAGATTAGCTTTTGATTATGATTAATAATCAATCAGCAGCGGAACCATGTAATGCTCGTAATCGGAATGTAAGCTGCCAAATGTAATTACAGACTTGTCTACCGTGGAGATAAATGAGAATACGCCGTCGGTTGTGTGCGTACGTCTCTGGCTGACTGTGTGTGTGTCCGGAGAATCAGTATTGGGGGGCTCAGGGGGGGCGTTTGGGCCACTGACGGACAGCTGCTGGGGCGCCGTCAGTTGGCCCCATTAGACTGCCCCAATGCGCGTTTAAAAAGCACACAAGTCCGTTTATGTAACATGGACAGAGAGAGGACCTCCGATGGGTACAAATGCTTTGGAAGGAGACGGAGAGAAGGACCAAAAAAGCACCGTACCATGTCAGTCAATGATATACATATAATTAGCTAATTACGGTTTTGTGGCTGTACGTTGCTGTGTACAAGCCCCGCAAGCGAGACTCCGCATACAATTAACTTCCTTATCTATATAAAATATAAATACTAACAACATGTGTACTAAAACGTATGCACCCTTCCATCAACAACAACAACACAAAAAGAAAATAAGAAAAAAAGATCACGAGCTGTACGAAAAAGTAAGCTAGTCTATCAATTGATTGAAATAGCAACAACAACAACACAAACAAAAGAAAAATATAACAAAAAAGTTGTACAAAAATATTTGTTTTCTTCCATCAATTGAGAGATGCAGTAATGACAACAACATAACTTGAAGAAAACAACAAAAAATATTACGAGTTTTATGAAAACGTATGCTCTCGTCCATCATCAATTAATTGAAGCAGAAACAACACAACTAAAAGAAAAATACAATAAAAAAGTTGTACAAAAATGTATGTTTTCTTCCATAAATTGAGAGAAGAATTAACAACAACACAACCAGAAGGAATTAACAAAAAAGACCACGAGCTGTACGAAAACGTAAGCTCTCGTCCGTCAATGATTGAAGTAGCAGCAACAACAACAACACAACCAGAAGAAAAAACAACGATTAACAAACGAAGAGTAGATGGACCGGACAGCGGTTTCTTTTTCGTTTTACATCGTTTTCGCTGCAGAAACTGGACACCAGAGATTGGGTAACCCGAGATCGTTGCATAGAAGCTTCCTTTTTGTTTCGCCACATTACGCGCGCCGAATTTCTTTACGCCAATATCGATATATTTCACTATGACAGTTCTTTTGTGGTACTACACACCTGAACCAAGTATTTTTATTTTTGGTGCGCAACTAAAAATAATTTACCTTGGAAGTAGCTCTTGGTGCGCAGGTAGCTGACGGAGAGTCGCAGGATGGATAATCTGTCCAGCTTCGAAAGGATGTTCTGCTCGAAAGGCAGGAGGCTCGCGAGGGTGTCCAGTTCGGCGTTCAGTCGCTCCCGATGCCTCTTGCTAGGATTGCTCTTCGTCACGCCATCCTTTGGTGTCGGCTTCAAACTGAAAACAATATTGTTATTGTATTAAACATAATGAAATATACAATTAAAGTATGTTTTTAAAAATAATTTAATTTAAATAGAAACGTCAGTTTAATTGGTGTTACATCTTTTGTAATATTTACGATTTGTATAATTCACATAATAGAGTGTTCACACGACATCTGATTAACGAAGTAATGAAAATACAATTTTAGTGAAAATCACTTATCTAATACGTGAAAAGTGTTGAATTTTACAAGACTACTACTACTAATATTTTCCATTTATACCATCTAAAAATAGCAATGAATCAATTTAACAGTGATCCATGCAATTATTATTTTCTTAGAAGAAAATATAAATAAAAAATATAACTATAATTTATAATCAATATTAGTTAAAAAGTACTAAACTGTTTTGTGTAAGGTCCATTCAATATATTATTAAATGAATAACATTTGTTGTAGCAAACATATACATTTTTTTATTAGGTAATCGACTTTATAATTTAGTTTATTTTTTATGTTAGTGGAAGTGAATGTATGGAATTAGTTAACGAATGAGGAAGGGAAATTATGATAGCAAAAGTTAACCTACTCACGTTAAGTCATGGTTGATATTGTATTTATGATCTATTGTTTATGTTTGTTGTTTATTTTGCATTGTATAATAGATATGTATGCTAATTATTCCAATTATGATTTTAATTTAAAAAAAAATGCAAATAATTCCACAGTGAGTGTGTTTATATTAATAAATTTCTTCGAGCAAATATTTACTGCATTTATATTAAGTAAAAATCAAATAGTTTTTGTATGAATAAGATAACAAATTTTAAATAATACTTATGAGATTAATTCATTTAAATCTGCATAAAATATGTTAAAAAATGTATGTGTCGAGTCTCGAATATTTCTCCAACAATTCCCGAGAAATTTGTCCCGGGAATTCCCGGTTCAGCAACTATATTTGTCAAAGAGAAAGTAACCAAATTACTATAGTAACTAATCTTAACACCAATCATAATATCAAACTACACACAGAAGTTAAACCTTGAAATAATATACAGAATAATAAGCTTATTTACTAGAAGGAATATTTTTAATAATATATTCTTAATCAATTCTATAATAAGATATGTGTGTAATAAATATAAATACTTCAATTATTATATAATTATCGGATTTCATTGATAATAATTTTGCTCACATATAAATGCTATAAAATTAGTCTGAAGTAATAAATTAAATTATTATTTTTTTTAATTCATCCACCTTTTCCTTATATTATAATCACAGCGTTTACAGAACGGCAACAATTACGTAAGTTTCACACCTGCACACGGGATCTCCGCACGTCGTGGTGATTGCTCGTTAGTGTGATTACATTATTACCATTAAAACGTTCGCGCCGAGACCGAACGATCATGCATTACGCAAACAATAATTCGAATGTTTTGCCCGAATTGATATTATTACCGATGATGTCTGAGCGAGTTGAAGAGGAGGTGGAGGTAGGTAGTAACGTTGGTCGGTAGGTGTATCTGATGGTATTATGCATATACTCCAGACGTGAAACTGCCGTACCAAATAATTGTTGATAATCATTTTAATTATACCGCGCCGACACAAGACATAAACAAATCGTTGCGCAACAGCAATTAAAAATTAATTTTCGTATCGTTTTCACACACATATAAAAATAAAAACAAAATGGAAACAAATGGACACTTTTTAAGTAAAATAAAAAATAGATCAGAAATAATTATGTTCAATATTATAAATCTCTTATTATATTATGTTCTTTTACAGATTTTTTTTATGTCGTAATAATTTTATTCACAAACTGTTCATCAACAGTGAACATTGACTAATTGCGGTTGACATTAAATGGATAAGCTTTCCCTGTGGATAGTTACCATTATGATGATTTTGAACATTAATAATTACTTAAATATACATACTAAATCTAGTGGCCAATAGCTAGAACATTAGTATGTGACTCCAGACAATCTTGGTATCTACTACTAAATGTTGCTATTGTGTACCAAATCTATATGAAGATCTTCGTGTATACTTGACGAACCATGGAGCCCTAATCATATTTCTTAGGCATTTTGATTGGAACCTTTATATAATTTGCTTTGTTCGATTTACTGGTTGCACCCCACAATAGGATGGCATACGTCCATACTAGTTTCAGTATTACTTTGCATATAAGTAATTTATTTTTCTCTGATAATTTAGACTTCTTCCCTAGAAGCCAGTAGAGTTTTCAAACCTTATATCTAATTGCTCCCTCTTAGCCTGAATGTGATCTTTCCAGGTGAGTCTTCTGTCGCATTGACTTTTGTTGCATTGGGCAGATCTTGTCCATTAAGTCTTACCGTTGGGCAGGTGTCTTTCATTAGCGTGAATGTGATATGCACGGATTTCATTTCGTTAACTGATATTCTCAATTTTTTAGGCCATTCTATTACTGTTCGATTCTCATTTGATGCCAAGATTGCTGTATTATCAGCGAATGTTGAATCTTAGGTAGTAGTATTGCTAGTTTTAGGAATATCTGCCCTGTAAAAAAGGTAAAGCAGTGATCCTAAAACACTTCCCTGTAGCAATTCTATTATATTGGATATAAATCGGTGTATTCGTCTTCTATTTTTACCTGAAACATTATATTATCGAGGTATGATTTTATTATTTTAAAATAATGAGAAGTAAATTATAGAAAATAACAACAAAAATTTAACTCTTAGTTTATAGATATAAATGTGAATTAATAAGTTAATATTTCATCTCTTAACTAGCAATTAAAATTAAAGGAAATAATTTGTGTAGTGTCAAATACAATGAAGACAGAAACTGTAAGTCCAAGTGTAAGCACTACAACTTGTGCTTTAATACTATTGTTTTGTTTCAGATGAGTATATTAGTAACTTCATATGACATAAAAATAAATTTAGAAATTGGAAGAGATTCGACAGGTAATGAACATAATTAATTGATAAATAGTAATAATAAACAAAATATTAATTAGTAACTCTAAACATAAGAAAAAAAATGTAATATAAATTAATAAAAATAAATTAGTAAATGTGCCAAAGGGCATGTGAATTAAGAAAATTTCCTTTATTTTGAAATTTTCAAAACCGCACTATAATGAATCAAGACTCATTGAATCCGTACTATGCGAGTTATTACTAATATACATATATCTACAGATAGTGAAAGTGTCTAATCAAATAATTTTTGATAATCATTTTAATTATACTGCACAAATCGTTGCGCAACAGCAATTAAAAATTAATTTTTGTATCCTTTTCACACATACACAAAATAAAAACAAAATACTAGTAAACATTGTCTGCTTTGCGATTTAGACGTTGTTTTCTTCATTCAATCCAATAATGAAGATGTACTTCCGCAAAATGGTTACGGGCTTCGAGACCGGAGGAACCATCATCAGTCATCCGCCGTTCCGAAATAATTAAGGCCTCACACGTTGTCTTTACCTGAGTAACGATTGATCCATTCCATATTTCGGCGCAGAAACACTCGCAATTCAATTACAATACTCATCCTCGTCTCTCTCCTCATCTCGTGGCAGATTAGTTTTAAGTGAATTATGCAAATCGTCCTTTCCATTAGATGCAAATTAATCTGGGATGCATCTCTCACTCTGTTGTATAATAGTGGATGGGTTCAGACAGGCCTGTCATTACAAAAGAGTTAGGGTTTTCTCAGTCTTCTTCTTCATCTTTTTTTTTGTTCTTGCTCTTGTCTGTTGTTTCTCCGTCGCATTCTTCTTATTCTTCTTGGGCGCCGAAGCCGAAGAAACGAAAGCCAAGAACGAAGAAGAATACTACTGCATCATAGTAAGTAAGGGCTCCCTTCCAAATTTCTTTATAATTCGTTCCATTCCTCATCATGCGTTTAATTCCATACCTCTTAATGATGATAACGCTCTTCTGATTACCCGGGTCAAACATTAAAAGTATATTTACAAAAGATTCACTAATATCACTGACAAAATATACCATGTCCTGATGATCAATAATTATTACATTATTTATTCTACAATATAACGCGGTACTGTCATAACACGATGCTAAATAATCGCGTTATAAGAGGATTGTCTATATTATTAATGTAACATTTACAACACATTTTATTATTATTTATTTTTTTTTAACCAAAAAAATCATTTTATAAAAATTTATATCTAAATGTAAATAAATAATTATATTGCAGTTTGCGCAAATAATAATTTTGTAAGGTTTAATATTGCAATTTTGAACAAATGTTAGTTTGTGCAAATAATCTAGTTGAAAAATGGAATAAATCGTAAAAAAGAACTTTCAAAAATAAGAAAGCAACATAAAATAAATAGGAAAACTCATTTTATTTCGTACTTAAAATCTTCATTAAGAGTTTGAATACTTGTATATATAATTATAATGTTTAGAATTAAAAATTTGAAAGTTTTACCGAAATTTATCTTAATTGAAAATGAAAAATTAACAAGAAATTCGCAAAGACGATATAACTAAAACTAAAAAAAAACTGAACTTCACAATTTAAACTGACTTAAAAATATACATCGTTGCCTCATAAATCACTAAAATTTTAAGTACTTATCAAATATTTGAAAAGTTAAACATACATTTTAAAAATAACAAATGGAAACTGGAGACTAATGAACGATTTATAAGAAAAATATTACAAATTGAAGATTTAATAATTATTAAGTTTTTAAATAATTGATTATGTTATAAAACATTTCTTTCTACATGTTATTTCTTCTTTATTTTAAAATAACAGTAGCCCTTTCTATCAGTTGACTTTTTTGAAATTTATATATATTTATTTTGTTCTTTTTATTTCTGCATATGTTTTTTTTTTCAAAAACTCTAGATTTAAAATATTATAATTTAAATTAAAGAATTTTGATAATGAATGAATGAAAATAACCAAAACAATTTAACACTTATAAATGTAAATTAATTAAAATTTAGTTTGT